ACTGTATTACACAAAACAGAAGAGAGAAGATCAATATTTTAAAAGAATCTTTCTATTTGGCTCAAGACAATACTCAGGAAAAATATATATTTTCATTCCAAGTTTGTGTCCTTTTAGACAGTGATGTTGTGATGTGAAACCTCTTTAAAATATAAAAGGCTATTCCTATGTAATGAGGACGACTTGCAGACTACCCCTTCTACAAATCCATCCGAAATATTCCCTTTTCCATTTTAAGTGTAGTAGTCAAACAAAGCATTCTTCCATAAAAGTCAATATTTCATGATTCATGGTGAGCAGTAAAAGACCCAGTGCATCCATTTTTAATGTCTTGAAGACTTTTCGACTTTTATTTTGATGGCTTGTGATGATGCATGAAATTGTGATATATCTAAATTCATGCAAGGGTTGCTTTGCCTTTAATAAAAGTTATTCAAACAGAAAAATCACACACTTTCAACCACTGGTTAAGATAACACTTATATTATTTATTCTTTAATTAGTGTGATTGGTACAGATTGAAGTCAAACAGATTAGCCAAATATTTTAGTCAAATTAATTGAGATTCATGAGCAATCATGAGTGACAAGTGATGCATTTTAACAAGAAGATTGTTGCATCTTTTAAAAGCCTGAAGAGGGCAAATAAGTTTTTGTTAAGGGGTAATTGGAAAAAAGGAATGAACTTGACAAAGGGTAAAATAATGAGATTAAATAAGATTGCACCATTAAGGAGAAATCATAAGGATGAAAAACAAATGAGCATTGATAACTGCAAGAAACTCTTTGTAAGTAATCAATATATCAGTTGACTAATATAATTATTTTATCTGTGTCTTAGCATTGGCAAAATGCATAAAAAGTACTATATGAATAATGGCAATAGCGAGAAGAAATTAGAAGAATAAAATACAAATATGTATTGATAACTGCAAGAAATTCTTTTCAACTAATCAATTTTTCAGTTGACTACCACTGTTATGCCTTTTATTTTTTTTCTCTTAGCATCTAAACAATGGCAACATGTCCAGAGCAAGTCAACATTTTAATTATTAATTAAATTACTACTCTGTGCAGAAAGTAAATATTTGTATATGCAGATTGGGCATTATAGAAGTTCTTTAATAAGCTAGGATGAAGCCTATATACCGTATATCTAAATTATGGACCGTCTCTTGTGTGTTTATAAACCTATGTAAACAGTATAAACATAGATGCCTTCCAAACTCCTTCTGTATGATAGAGTGATATATGGCTCCCGGAAATATTTGTATTTGGAAAGAGAAGGATATGATAGCAATGGAAGGGATTATTAATTAACTTGATGCTTCCTGTGGGATTATAGTTTCCCTGTTTTTGGATAAACAAGATATATTAACCTTTATATGGATTTGTGCAGTCTGTATATTGTTGCTTGTATCCAGAATACTATAAGTATATACCATCCTTTAATTAAAGCCCCTCTAAAGTGTTGGGATCCCCGAATTCACCAAAAATTTGATGACAAAATCTAACTTAAATTGTATCATAATGTGAAAGAGGATGTCATTTAGGACACACTTCTGCAAAGATTCCCCCCCCCAAAAAAAAAGAGAAAATGTGTTTGAAGACAAATATAGATAAAAGAACATATAATTATGGTTTTCTGTTGCATGCAGGAAACCTAAATTTTGTATTCTTTCAGTCAAAATGACATCCTTTTTCACATTATGATACAGTTTAAGTGAAATATTGCCATCAATTTTTTTGGGCTCCCAACACTTTAGAGGGGCTTTAATGTACAATTGTTTTTTTTAAATAATGGTTTTGCTGGTAATGTGTTATTATGTATTCATACTGAACATCTACTTCTAAAAATAGCATTTATTTTCCTGTGCATCACAAGCAGTAGACTAGTGTAACATTTAGCTAGAACTAACCTTAAAATTAGAATTCCATGCTATACTGCCGTTTTTTGAGACAGCATTTGAAAGTTCCATTGTTTTCATGAAGTGGCTGAACATAAAATAATTAGATACTTCAGTTGAGACAGTAGAACAATTTCAAAATATAGTATGTAAGCTAAAACCTGTGATTTCCTTTTTGAAATCAACCTTGGAAGTCATGATTGAGAATATCTACCGTATGTCTGGATGGTGACCTTTTGTTTCATGAACAATCTGAAATGTTATCTTAACATTCAAAGTGGATGTCCAAACACATATTAATTGTGAAGTCATATTAGGGTGACCTTTGCATGAAAAAGCAAACTTTATCCCCACAATGCACATAAGTGCTTGTGCATTAAGCCCTGTGATGGAACTTAATTGCTACATGTATTCACTAAATGTACATGTACTTGCGTGGGAGGCCGCGGAGAGAGTAAATAAAGTGTCATTTAAAAGCTGTAGGCCTTGATACATTGATCAATTTGGGCAAGTCCAAATGACTTGGTGAAATTCCTTATGCAGTAATCGTAGCAGCAGCTCCTAGGAGGGGTCTTTTAAGTTGTAAAACCATTAGAATTCTCTAAGCTTTGTTGTTTTCTTGAATCCCAAGATTCAGCCAGCTCATTAAGCAGTCGTATCACTGACCTGACTGTCTCCTCACGAGGCCATCATACTCTAAGCCATAAACCGTGACAAGAATGCTAGCAGATGATCTTCCATCCTTGCTCTAGCCATGTATGATACGTTTCATTTGCTTTTCTTGGCAATTTCAGTCTATACTGGGTGTGAACTTAAGCAAAACAACTTTTATAATTAATAGTAATTTTATTTAAAAAATGCAATTTAATCATAAAGTGCCTTTGATTAAATGCAAATTAAATTTACAGTGCTAAAACTGAACATTTCTGGAGGAATTTCATTTCAGATCATCAGACTTTTAAGCAATGATTTCTTGAACAAAAATATTTCATGTGGAATCTAAAAAGTAGCCCTTAAAACGGTCCCTTCATGGTATATTGCATTTTACCTGACACTATGTATTACATGAAGTAGATAAAAGGGCAGCCATCACTACGTCTCCTTCACAAACATTCACTTTTTCATGTATTCGCATGAATTGATACTGAGGTAAGCTGTCTGGCAAGGGATGTCGAATACTTTGTCTTTCCAAGTAAGCTCCTCCATTCCTCCAGTGTGTCTTGCAGGACAGGTGAAAAATGATGAATGTCTGTTGTTTGACAAATACCCTGCATTTTGATCAATTCTAAAGCTTGTATCATTAATAATGTATAGGAGAATCTACCTTGTAACATTATACCTTATAACATTATAACATTTCATGTAAAAGATTTTGGTACAAATCTGCAGTAAGAAAAATATCATGATTTCTGTACGCCAACATATAGAGCTTAAAACTTGAGAGGATGAAGATAACACATGATGTATTGATGTTTGCAGTGTAAAGCTATTACTCTTCCCAGTGCTGTCCTATGAAGTCATTGATACTTAACTGCATACAGTGAAAAATGTTAAATAGCTATTCATGTTACTAAGATGTCGGAAGAAAACTAGGCTACTTGACTGTGGTTTGCGGGAGAAAACTCATGAGTCAGGCACGCTATTTGCATTTCTTAGGCTTCAGAGGGGATGGCTTTTCTTTTTGTGGCTGAGTGGATTCTGGAAAGCGTACCCTTCTCTTTTTCCTGAACCCCAAGGGCATGCAAGCTGTATTAAATTGAAAATCCCGAAAAGAGTGGATTATTCGAAGTAAACAGCTGGATTAAGAACTAGACGGAGTATGGAAGAGATGGAAGGTCCTTAGAATTGAAGTGGAATTGTTATAGGATGATGAATACTGCATGCATTTTTAATTTATTTGGCTTGAAACGAGGGCTTTCCACTGCATACTGATACTCGATAGGAGTGAAAGCTTTGCATGTTGTAGGGTTCGCTTTTAACGTCACCTCGCGTGAATGTTGATATTGCATTGCCGTTGGGATGGGGTCCTTGGATATTTGATTTTAGAATCGAGGAACGGCCTTGAAAGGTACCTTTCAAGGTAAACAGTGCTCTATGTACGAAAAATATTGATTTTAGGAGACGGTTTTTTTTTTCCTATGAATCTTCCAGAATAAGAGGAAGAGGGTGGCAGAATTAATGAGAGATATTGTGGAAGCATTATCGTGGGAGTCGCCATGTGTGAAATGAGAAATAATGCATGAGTAGAAAGTGTGATATAAGTGCATGTCCTATTAAACTAATCAATGATCCATTATATTCAACATGGATTCTCAAATCAATGATAACAGGCAACTAGGCACGTAACTGATTTTTCTCCTTTTTTTTATACTGAAAATAGTTTCGGTTGATATTTTTCTTAGTGAGCATATATATTTTGTTATTAAATTTGTTGTTAAAGAGTAATTTTTATCAATTTTATTGTTCAGAGAAATATATGTCTTATATAGGAACATTATATTAATTAAACAGACATTTGCCATTTACAATCTATTATTTGAATGTAAGGTTTACTGCAAACAGTTAATATAGAACAGCTGTTAACATTCTGTTTTTTTTAATATAATTTATATATTTTTATTTCTAGAATTGAATTCACTTAATTTTGTCTGTGTGATATTTGTATATGAGAATTAAAGGGGAAAAAAAAGATATTCATTTTTTTTAAAAATCCTTTTAGACACAAATAATCACAATCGGTTAGGCGAGGCGTCAAAAATAAATATACCAGCCAGCGGCAGCAAACTGCACTTGTGCGTCCTGGCTGCATTTTTTAAATTAGCTCAGCCGGCTACCGCTGGCGGTAGGAAATGGCGTTCAAAAGCATACGCCGGCTGCCGCCTTTCGAATGGAAACCGAGCCTCAGATCCCAGCCTGGCGCAAGCCGGCTGGGCTAACAAAAGAAAAGTAATTGCCCTAGCCAGGCTTCGGCCGTAATTGCAGCCTCGATGCGCCAATACGTGAGGCGGCAGCCTGCTGGTATCGATATTTTTGACGCCTCGCCTTATGAACATAGCTTGAACAAGTCTTGTATACCATATTTTGTCCCCCTTATTACAGATCTGCCACACCATACCATGGTTTCATGATCATGAACAGACTGAGCCTTCACAACTTGACTGAACCAATCACTAAGGATTTGGACTACACTCTCCAAGAACCATTCTTGCTCTACAAGACTGCAAAAGGTACAGGATATGGTTTATTAATCAATAACCTTTAAGATATATCTTATACATTACTGCCTCAAACTTAAAATCAGACAATGGTTTGATGGCATGTTTCTTGTCAGTGACCAATCAGAATCTATACAAGATACACTGAGCAGTCCTGCCTCAAACTTGAAATCAGACAATGGTTTGATTGCATGTTTCTTGTCAGTGACCAATCAGAATCTATACAAGATACAGCAGTCCTATCTCAAAGTTGAAATCAGGCAATGGTTTGATTGCATTTTTCTTGTCAATGATCAATCAGAATCTATACAAGATGTAGCAGTCTTGCCTCAAATTTGAAATCAGAAAATGGTTTGATTGCATGTTTCTTGCCAGTGACCAATCAGAATCTGTACAAGATACAGCAGTCCTGTGCCTCAAACTTGAAATCAGATAATGGTTTGATTGCATGTTTCTTGTCAATGACCAATCAGAATCTATACAAAATACAGCAGTCCTGCCTCAAACTTGAAATCAGACAATGGTTTGATTGCATGTTTCTTGTCAGTGAATAATCAGAATCTATAGAAGATAGAGCAGTCCTGCCTCAAACTCGAAATCGCACAATGGTTTGATTGCATGTTTCTTGTCAGTGACCAATCATAATCTTAACAAGATACAGCAGTCCTGCCTCAAACTTGAAATCAGACAATGGTTTGATTGCATGTTTCTTGTCAATATCCAAACAGAATCAGATACAGCAGAAAACTTGATTCTGATTGGATAACTAGATGGATGTTGTAGCTCAGGAAGAAGCAATCTGCAATCAAATAAGTAAATATGTCAGCAGTAAATCTTCTCCAAGCAACAACAAAAAAAAAAAAAAAACATTCAAATTGATTATTTGGTCCATTATAGATTAAATGACAACATTTATCAGTTATCCAACAGTATTTTTAATATGACGAATACCAAAAAAGAAAATACTTTCCACTGAATACCAAGCCAGAGAATACTTTGATTGCAACTTATTGGAAAGCATGCTAATGGAAATGAAAACATCTTGGGTTACTTATACAGATTACAGCCAAAGCGAGGTTCCTTAAGAGGGATAAATCCCGGATAATGTTGATTTTAAAACTCGACAAGACAATGTACAATACAGTCATTTGTTATGAGGAATGTTCCAGGGGTTGAATAATTTGGGATTAGAAACATAGAGATTGCCCTCATGGACTGACCTATTAGCTTGAGAGCACATGAGATGGTTTGTCCCTGTAGGAAAGCATCCGATTTCACTCTGGAAGACGTTCTCTTAGGATCCTGATGCATCGAATAACCCACCACCACTCACTTAGCAAATTAGAACTTTACCTTGCTCCCAGATACCCTCTCTGACTCTGATCATCAGGCTAGTCGGATAGCTTTTAGGGTCTCACAATGTTTCTCTCTCGTTCAGACCAGCATTGTATACGGCAGCTATATGATAAATAAACACGATATATGCTATAGAGTAAGTAATCTATATATATCAAACAAAGGTTTGAGCATCATTTCAAACAACACTGGACAAGAAAATAATAGGATCTATTGCAGAAGTAACGATTGAAATCAAACAAAACCTCATTTTTAGCGCTTACTGATATGACTGACCAGCTGTAAATATTTATGCTGAACGATGCTCATGACAAATTATTGATTACATGGAAAAAATATGGTGTAAGGTGACTTGCCCATACCTAGCTTCTCTGACATTCCTTTACACAATCATTCTTATCCTGTATGAACACACCTTTCACTTCATGGTGATTCTTGAAATGACGTTTCTTTGTACAATTTTTTGTATATATCCTGTCTCGTGTGAATGCCCCATCATTGGTTTCCCTGGGCCAAACTGTTGGATGTCAGTCATGTAAGAACACACCTTTCACTTCATGGTGATTCTTCACGCAACGTTTCTTTGTACAAATTTGGTGTGAACCCTGTCTTGTGTGAATGCCCCATCATCGGTTTCCCTGGGCCAAACTGTTGGATGTCAGTCAGTGACAGTGTCCGTCTTCAATTCGCTAAGTGCTAACTTCTATTTAGTCTGATGTCAGATCATCAATCCTTATGTCGGCGTTGGTGTACTTTTCTCTCCTATTATTTGGTCAGTTCAAGCCCTGTGTAAAGACTCTCCTTTCTGGAGTTTGATAGCATAGTTATGTAGTGCTGGTCAGGTGGAACATATACTTATCATAATGTGATGTTGATGCAAGAAAATGAAAATGTACAATTCAGCCTTCCTCCTAAAAATAGGTATACAATCCAGGAAGACTCCAAGATTTTCATATATCTTTTAAGATCATCAAAACGCCTACAGGTATATTTTCTCGTCCCCCATTTATCATGTCCTCAATGATTAGTTCTTTCATCTGGGTGTTTCAATAGTATCCAGGATTTTAAAAGAAATGTCATATTTTCAATGATCATTATACTCTTACATTATATTTTCAGATTTTTGTGACAAACCAGTTTGATTGTAAGAACAATGAATTGCTATTGAATACATTCTATATGTGATAAGACAGGTTTTCTTTAATTTTCTTGTTGCAATTTCTGAAAAAAAAGAGAGAAAAAGGTGGGAAACATAATGAAGTTCAAATCGTGCCTGACAAGCGTTTGATGTAAAAAGTGGCAAGATGAAGAAAAATTCCTGTGGATGTGACAAGTTAAAATCGTATGCATGTACATGTAACTTCATATTTCATTTCCCGTGCCCCAAAAACGCCTAAAGAGCTGACTTCCTTTTTTTCTTCCATCTGAACGCCCCTTGCATATATCCGAAACCAGGAAATAGAATACCATTTTAAAGTACACCCTGTACATGCTACATGCCTGAGATTGGTGTTATTCACAAATAACACAGTTTTAGTCCATTTGTTGTTAGGAGGGGGGGGGGGGGGGAAGTATGAAAAAATAAATTGTTCATAATTGTGGTCATGTAGTTGCAAGAAAGGGAATGCAAGTAATTCATGTTCGATGTTTCTTTTCATCATTAAGTAAAAGCAGGAAGATGATAGGAATGGGAATGAAGATGAGATGAGACGTTGCTTTAGAAACTTGCTTTTATTTAAAAAAATCCAAGATGGTAAGTTAATCTCATTTGTGCTATGGACAGCAAGTCTAGCCTAAGTTTTTTTTCCTGTTTCAAAGTTTGTTTGTATTAAGAATAGAATTTGTGTCTTCTGCCAAAAGAGACTGGTAGATGCATTTTGTAATTTGAAGTTTATTCTATTAAAATATGACCAAATTTTGCATTGAAACATTGAATTATACCTCAAAATACATCTTGTGAAAGTTCATTTATTATTCATTATAAACATGGTGGCAGTGAACAGGTAAATTATGGATTTTTTTATCATATTGTATCCACATCCATTAACATTGTCTTGAGTATAAACAAAATATAGGAATCTGTGGTTTCAGCAAATCTCCACCTTAATCCTTTATGTATTTAATAGTGTCATCCCAAAACAGAGTAAACAAAAATCTGTGCGTATTTTAATCAGTTTGAAATACTGTCTTTTTTCCCCCAAAGATCTTCAATGCAAGACATCAGGCTCTGATGGTGACAAATCGAAATACTTTCATATTATGAACCTTGTGGTATGTTTTATTATTTTGTCATCTACAGCAATCTGTGGGATCTGGTTTTATAACAGGAAAGACTGTATCAGATTTGCAGAACTGATTCAAAGGTAAATTATATGATGTTGCACCACTCACCACAAATCATATATAATGTTTTCTCTCGTTTGTTCAGGTATATTTCTTGTTTATGTGCTTTGTATCTAATGGACAGGAGCTATGTATTGTAATATTATCATGCTATTATCATGTTATTATTATCATGTTATTATCATGTTACCGGAGTGTTGGCTCAGTCAGTAGAGCGTCCGCCTCACAACCGGGAGGTCGTGGGTTCGAACCCCGGCCGCGTCATACCAAAAGATGTTAAAAGATGGGAGTTGTTGCTACCCTGTTTGACGTTCAACAATAAGGGATAGAGCAACGTCGATCTGGCGCTGCTCAGTGGCTGCCGGGCTCACGATCAATTGGGCAAAAAGAATTTCCGTTTCGGTTTAAAAAAATTTGGAGTGGACTATTAGGCTTTTATTATTATTATTATTGTTATCATTATTATAAGCTAGGATCATTAAAACACCACAGATTTGCAGTTTTATGTTGGTAAAATTGAAATAATAGGGATTGATGACCCTCTCTCATACTTGCCTGTGTTAGAGAGGGTCCCATCTGCATTTTAAAACAATCTCTTCCCTCCATCTTGCGTTCGTCAATTTGATTAACGGAAGTAGGTCGATGTTAATTAATAGCAGGGGTTTACAGATGGCAATGTAGGTTGAAGCGTCATGTTTTCATAAAAGAGTTTGGAAGTTCAATCAAGTCTGAATGCTATGTCTGACATCCTGATATTTATCATGATAAAAGATGCATGTAGTGGATCCCTTAGGCCTACTACATGCCTCTTTATCATGATAAACCTTTTTATTGAAGCCCTGGATTATGTCATTTGTCAAAAATGTTGTATTTTCACTGTTATTACTGTATTATTATCAATTTTTGTATCCATTTGATCTGTTATGATTGTAAAGGAATCTGCGATCTGGCCATCTGGTCGCGATTGATTTCTTATTAATAAATCGTTTTAAATTAATAAATAACTAAAGTTTGGAGGAGAAATATGTGTGTCTGTGCTGATAAGAACATAGTTTGCAGATGTAACAATATTGAATTGACACATATATCATCCGTGTGGAGGAATGGAGTATATACCCTGTGAAATAACAAATATTCTTATAATGAATGTGAAATAATGATAATAATACTAGTGGAGTCTAGTATATAGCTCTCATGTATGACACATTGGCACTCCTGGTGCTCCATTTTTATTACCCTGGCTTTAGCACGGCTGCCATTATGACACTCAAGCATTTAAAGAAATTTATTCCTGGCAGGTACACATTTTCCTCACCTGGGTGCAGTGTGATGTTTAATGTCTTGCCAAAGGAATTTAGTGCTGTGATGGGGATTTGAATCCTGTACCTTGTCCAGTAGACCACAACACATCTACATAATTATGAAATGATTATTTGGAATGAGCTGAGAGCACTATTCTATTTTCGGATCCTACACATAGCCTTTAAGCTTAAAGAGACTATTACTGTTTTCACACTGGCAATATTTTGCTTAACCCCGTACTATAGGTGGGGTTAAGGGGGGGGGGGGGGTCTTAGCCCCACCTATAGTACGGGGTTAAGCCTATTCCACTTTCTGTTCAGACTGGTTTTTACCAAAGTGGGCTAAAGTTGGCTAACCCCACCTATAGTACGGGGTTAACTAACCCTGCAAAATAGCAGGGCTAACTCCGCAATTGTGGTGCTAACTCCTGCTAACCCCGCAATTGCGGTGCTAAGCAAATGAATGAGAACAGAAACGAAAAATAGTCCGGTACTACGCAATGGAGCGTATCGCAGCTGGCCAGATGCGAAGTATGTCCAATCATAACATACACGATATCCGGGGTTAACGAAATGCAGTGAGAACAGCAGGAATTTTCTTATTCCGGAATAGGCGCTAGTACGGGACTAAAAACAGCGAGTGTGAAAAGCCAAACAAATAGTCCGGGGTTAAGGATAGTACGGGGCTAAGCAAAGTACGGGGTTAAGCAAAACCAGTGTGAAAAGAGTATATGAAAGATTGTGCAAAAAGAAAATAGTGGACAAAATATATTAATTACATCAATAAATTGTCTTTTATTAAGCTTTACTTCAATATGTTAAATTTGAAAGGATGCTGACAACATTGGGGGTACATTTCATGTATTTAGAAATGATTTTGTGAAAGGGAACAAAGGAGAAAGGAAGGGACAAGCAGAGACGGTAGTAACGACATCCCTGGACAAAGTATTTTTGTGAAAGAAAGAAGGATAAGACAGGGAAAATAGGGTTCAAGCAGAGAGCAGAAGAATGAACTGTATTAATGAGATGATTCGATGTAGAACCAATGTCCAGTCAAGCTGTTAATTCATCTTTTCAGAGTCATCCATGTTTACTAATTTTGTCACTGATCAGAGTGCATTCTATGAAACAAATACCTTTCTTCTCTTCAAATTAGCTTGCCACTGTTTCACTATTTTGCTGCTTTGACCTTGTGAAGTAACATTGACATAGAGAGGTGCTTTGTTGCAGGTTATTAATATATACCAAAAAGTCAATAGCTCGCTCTCTCTCTCTTTCTCTCTCTCTTTCTCTCTCTCTTTCTCTCTCTCTCTCTCTCTTTCTCTCTCTCTCTCTCTCTCTCTCTTTCTCTCTCTGTCTTTATCTTTGTCTTTCTCCTTCTCCCTCTCCCTCACCCTATTTCCTTCCATACCTCTCTCCTTTTCTCCCTCTCTCTTAAAGGTATAGTTGAGTTCTTGTTTAAGATCGTATGAGGTGCTATCTTGTTGTTCAACAGCTGGTTCAAAATTACTGACTAATTGTGGAGCACCACAAATATTAGAAATGGTTATATTTATGGATATTTCAGCCGTCTCTGAACCAATTTTGATCAAACAAAGATGATTTTGTCATCTAAATTGTATATTCTTTCAAATTTGACACCCAGTTTTGTATTATCTCACAAAAACACATTTTGTGTAGCGCTCTCTGCAACAAAACTCAACTATCCCTTTAACAACATAGAATAGTTTTAACAAAATATATTTGGCAGAAGACATTGCTATTGTTTTGATTCTGAATTGTTTTCATTGAATTCCTACCCTGTCATAAATTGCTAGGTTATATGATAACAATAGGTTTCACTCTATATATTTAAATCCTGTATATTTTCCTATGGTCCTTGAACAGTCTTTAATTTTAAAATTTGTGTTCATTTTATCTCCTTGTAAATTATATGAATATTTCATTCAGTTCTAAAACTGTCATTGGAAGTTCTTTTTTTAAATTTCTTTTTACCTTCTCTCTATAAATCTATTTCATGTTTTTTCATTTTTAAAACAATGTGGACACAGACGCAAAGATATGAAACAGTGGGACTACCCTTATAAACTAAGTGCTTTTTGTCAGGGTCCCAGTTTTTAAAAATCAATAATGATGAACAATATAACATAGAATCAGAGTATTTTTAACAGCATTATAATACAGTACAATAATACATAAAATCTAAACATACAGCATGTTTGACAGGTTAAAAGGAGGCGAGTAGGCTGTGTCTGCCTGTCGAACCAAAGATCGTGGGTTTGAATCCAACCCAGACGGATGACTGAAGCCTGCGTTGTGTGTTAATGTGTCCCTCCCCTATTTCATAGATGTAGGCTATGTTAAGTGGAAAACACTCTATCCCTCGGATAGGACGTAGAGGAGAGTCACCACCATTGCATGTTAAGAACCCGCTGCAATATTTGTATAAGAGTAGGGGGAAACTCTGGTGTAGTGGTCCACCTGCACACCCCCAATCAGTTATACCGGGAGGAGAGACCCGAGGGTTACAGTGATTCAGTTCGCTCGTTTGCCTCCCAGGCGCAGGCGAGGCCAAATACTTAATAATAATAATATGTATGAAGTACAAAAACCTGATAATTTATTCTTTCTTTTTTATGATGTTTTGTAGATTACTGGTCAAAATTAGACAGGAAGGGTCACAGCCAGTCGCAGCAAGTATGCCCGCACCTACAGATATCCTATCAATGCTCAGTAAAGCACAGCATGAATATAAGGTGAGTGGTAATCGGTTTGTGCTCCATCGTTCTGATTCAATGAATAAATTTGCAGGAAAATACAATTTGTCAAAATTTGTGACGATTGCAGGTCATTTCCGTTCATAAATCACAAATTCCAATGTATAATTTCCATGAAGTATTTTGACATGTTTTTATATTTCTTACAATAACATTTGGAGCTACCAGTAATGTTCCATGAAATTAGCATAAAGCATTTTAATGGAAGTAGATTGTGAGAGTAAGGCTTTATAATGGCGTACCGGTAAGTCCTTTGATCCTCTCTGGTATTTGATTTATGGCTTGTTCACGTATGTTGCTGAAAACCGAGGCGTTTCCTTTTTTAATGTGTAAGTAAACATCAAATGAGAATGAAAAAAAAAGCTGTGTGTAACAGAAATTCTGCCTGTTCTCACTTATCTTTGTAATATATCAACATTTTTAAACAGGATGCCGCAAAAGAAATTTAGTTAAATTTTTTTTTAAAAATACATATTTAATAATGTTGATTTCATGAAACACCAAATTACTAGAAGCAGCTAGAGTATGTAATCATGAGGAAAAAGCATTTTTTAAAATTTAAGACAAAAAGTGTATTTCTTCGTATTATTTAGAAACAGTATGATTTCAGGCAATAGAGTGTCCTAGCGCTGTGTTATATGATGCCATAATGTGAAGTGAAGCGCATTATACATATATCATCATTTTTCAAAAGAGCGCCAAGGTTTACCTCGTGATGTGTGAGACGATGCATCAGGGGATCACATAAATGCCTGTAAAACCTTCAACGTATTCCATCTCATCCAAGAGAGGTCATATAACTGCTCTATGAAAGAGGATTGTATGAATATTTGACCTGTTTATTCCTATAGTCAGTCAGGAATGCAGTACAGGCATCTCACAAATTTTACAATTGAATATATATACCACAGACAAGAACAAGATTAATGAGGTTAAATGGAATTTAGCATGAGGATTTAGCGTGATGCGATGTTTGAACACTAGAGGGCAGTATACTAATGCCAATATTTCTGACTGCAAGCTTTGAATGTCCCATAGACATGTGATCCATACTCTAGTATGTCCAATGGATAGATTTTGTTGAAATGTGCCGTTGGAAAAGTACATGCAAAATGTGCCAGGTTGATTTTTTTTTTTCATTGTTACTATGTTAAGGATACATGCACGTACAAATTATTGCACAATCCATCAATGATCACTGGCAGTGCCATGATATTTTAAATGTTTATGAATATCAACCACAACTCCTGACATAGAAATGAATAATTGTAACTTTGCTGTGGATTCTGGTCAATTACAAGTCTTCAAGAGATGGATTTCTAGGCCCCATCCTATGTTTGTGCTTGATTGAAAATAAAAGCAAGCCTTCAAATCGATGGCACAGTTACAATCTCCCATTTGTTACTTTTAGAAATTGCAATCTCTATGATACTTAAGTTGAGTGACAATCCAGTGCGATCACGCGCAGATCTTCACATTAAAGATGCTGCCAGAGTTTTGCATCTCGCCTACAACCGGTCAAATAAACATTGCTAGCAGGGTAATCATTTATTTTTGGCTTGATCAGTTCCTATGCATCATTTTCTTTTCTTTTTCAGCAAGGTACAAAGAAGAAGAGGAGTGCTTCAGAGAGCGGTCCTTCTCCCATAGGACCTGGTGGTGATGCTGGTGGTGGTGGTGCAGGAGTCATAAGACCAATCCCTGTCAAAGTTTCACCAGGTATGGAACTCAAAATGTTTGATATATAATACTTTCTCTCCAATTAGTTGTAGCAAGAGAGGACATAATATACATTTTGATGATTAATGTTAAGTTTTTGTCAAAGAAGAAGAGGAGTGCTTCAGAGAGTGGTCCTTCTTCCATAGGACCTGGTGGTGATGCCAAAGTGATGTCAAAGTTTCACCAGGTATGGAACTCAAAGTCCATTCTAGATGTTTGATATATAATACCTTCTCCTCAACAAGTTTTAACAGGAGAAAACAAATGATTGGTGTTGACAGTTGATGGTAAATTTTATTCATGAAACCTTTATCATGAAGATAAACCTGATTGTAGTCCATGCTTATATTTGATTTCTTGAATTGGATGTGCCACCCACAGCAGCGAAGGGGTTGGTTTGGTTGTTTTAACATTTACCACATTGAATACAAAGCCTGTGATAAAAAGAGGCAAGAACTGTAGAGAATATGTTTTACATCAAAATATTCATTGGTCCAGTTAGTTTATTATTATCATTTAAAATGATACAAGGATTTTTAAGATAGCAAAATTCACTTAGGCCCTTAGTGTGTAAAAAGGGGATGGGGGCGACAATGTCTCACATTTGAGTTGCTTTTGGAAATTTGTTATGGTGGTTCCTTCCTTCATCATCCAGGTTCTGTTTCATAAAACTTGTCATCAATAACAACTGCTACAAATCTATGACAAAGCTGCTCATAACCAATAAAATGTAAGGATTTCAATTATTCATAACAATTTTTGTATCATGAGGAAGCTGACTAAATCTTGATGTCTTAGCCCCTTAATCCTTAATCCCATGAGTAAATGGTAAACTGGTACCTCGTATACATTTTCAAATCCTCCAATGTAGGTGGAGAGCATGGTATAGAAATGCATTTTCTTGATGATGTTTTGTCACCCGATACATCAGTTCATTATAACACCTGTTGTTTTTGTGAGTTTTGGTTTACAAGTGTGATCTCATACAGGCATACACTATGCAAGGTGTTGCCTCATTACCTAGCACCCTAGTTTCCTGTTTTCACCTTGGATATCAATTACACACATTGTGCATGCATATTGAGAGCCAGAAGGGCATTATCTCATGTATTATAAACACAGATGTGGCTCGCAGCTGTCGATGAAATTCCTTCATTGTACAGAATGTTTAATATTTGCATTTCAACTAAGGCATAAGAAATGGGTATATGTTTTGGGTGCAATGCAAAATATTCATTCAATATTGTTTGAATATTGCCTTCAGAGGCTTAGATGGCAATACTTCAACCTATATTTTAAAAAAAAACACAGAAATATTTGCCCAAATATTCAATGTTGAAGTGCATTCGCGATATTTATCCAGGCCGGATCAATGTGATAATTTACCAAATATATCAATTAGTAGGCGGTTTCCTGGCAAATTTGTATCATCACGTATTAGTCAAAACGTATTTTTCACATGATTGGTAATAAGAGCTTCCATTTTATTTTTTGAGAGGGGGGCGTTTCCAAAACTGGTCTATACCTTTAAGCCTAAAATGTACATGTAAATGAATAATCTTGTGAAGCTGATTGAAGAACAAATATTTATATTTTTGAGGTTTGTCATTTTACGTTTTAATCAGTGCGATTCAGGGGTCTCCTAATTGAATGTCTATAGTTGCTTATCATCTTCAGTTGCTCTTGAATGTTCCCTTGTTGCATTTAACCAGAATGTTGTTCATTTACTTGGTTGTTTCTGAATGTTTCCTGTGAATTCATCCTTTGACAGGTCACAGGTGCCTTGTCCTAAACAGATGATAATGTGACAATGCGAGGAGTGACAAAAGCTGATGACCAATTATGAGTAATAAATTCTAAAAATTAATCAATGTTGAAGAAAGTATATCAATTTTCCCATTTTATATCACTCGCTAGGTCATGTGTCAAAAACAGATGATCAGATAACAGCACGAGGAGGAGCCAAGCCCAAGAGCAGTCCGATGGGTCCAAGGTTTCAGAGATCAGTTAGTATGCAGGATACCAGGAGTAAGACGACTACGACATCTAGCATAACTACCACTGCAGGTAATACCTTCATTTCAACTTTGATGAAATTAAACAGGAAGTTATAATTTCCTATGCTCATTATTTACGGTAAATGGGATATGTTCAATTTAATAAGATCCACATAAGCTATAGTATTTACCAAATTTGTAAGTCAGTGCAGAAGTTTCTGTTTATGTCAGCTGATCATTTCAGTCCTTATTCCTGTGTTTGAATATGATTTTAATTGATTTTGTAATCTTCTTTCACTCATCAAGGTTTATCGATAATTTGCAAACATGTGTATTAAGACCCTGTATGAATTTGACCTGCCTTTGGTTGGAAATTTTCACTGAATCACGATATTCATCACAGTTACCGTATTAAGATCAAGAGAAAACGATGTAGTAGACTATAATTCAGAAATCCTTTGTGCTGCTGCTGCAGGTAGAAAACACTGAGGATTTATAAAGCTATAAGGAGATATACCTTACATTTTGATGATTTTTTTATAGTTGAATTGCTGTTAAAGGCATTGTTTAATAATGTTAAACCTGAGATGCATGGCCCTACGTGTTACCAGTGTCTGTGATATGGTGTAATATTGAAGCCCTACGGTTTTTACTCATTTTCCCTAATAGACTGTTGTGTTATTAAAACCGTTAGGAAACAAATTTTTTTTTTGGATTTCCAATCATAAATGTCTTAATAATCTGACAGGTGATCGGCTTGTAAAAGTCATGGGATTCCTGACTGACCTAAAGGTTTATAATTATGATTGCAGCATGAGCTAAATCCAGGATTTTGTTTCAGAATCTAAGGCAATGTTACCGAGTCACTTTAAATCATACTCCTTTTCTACCGTGGATGTCCTTGTGATATGACAGGTCAGGGTGATGGTAGCAAGGTGATTCCTGTTCTTCAGAGGCTGATGTCACAAGGAGCTGAAGAAAGACCAGTCATCTCAGAGAAAGTGCAGGTCCACACATTAGAGAGTCTAGAGAAGATGCACACAACAAAAACAACAGAGGGCGCTACTGTAGCTTCTGCAGGCAAGAAACCAGAGGTAAGGTCTTACATCTGTAAATATTTTTCCATAGAATTATATGTTAATGGAACATGTGTGGCAATATATTGTTGCTATAGGGGAGGAATCTGAGTACTACTCAACCAGCCAGGAGATATCGAGCCTGCAGCGCGTGATAGGATCAACCAGCGACCTGTAGTTACTGCACTCGATGATATTCCAACACGAAAAGAGCTAAACCTGGCAATTGCCTCCTTGGGTGATGGCAAGGCACCCGGAGTGGATGGGATACCAAGCGAGATATGGAAGCACGGAGGAGCCACACTAACCAGCAGTTTACTAATGCTGATACAACAAGCATGGGCAGAAGGCTCCGTACCTCAGGATTGGAAGGATGCTAATATTGTCGCCATCTTCAAAAAAGGAGATAGAACTCAATGTGGAAACTACAGAGGAATATCGCTATTGTCAATAGCAGGGAAAGTTTTTGCCAGGATCCTTCTGAACAGATTGAATACCCACATAGCACCAGATATATTGCCGGAGACGCAATGCGGATTTAGGAACAACCGCAGCACAGTAGATATGATCTTCTGCCTCAGACAACTACAGGAGAAGTGCATTGAGCACAACCGATCCCTCTATGTGGTTTTTGTCGATTTCACGAAAGCCTTTGACACTGTTGGTAGGACAGGTCTTTGGGAACTACTACGAAAGTATGGATGTCCCGAGAAGTTCACCGGAATGGTAGAGTCCTTACATACGGGTATGATGGCTAAAGTCAAGGAAGCAGGCGAAACATCCCATAGCTTCCCTGTAAGTAACGGTGTAAAACAAGGATGTGTGTTGGCCCCTACGCTGTTCTCCATCTTTCTCTCGGCGATGCTGGAGGAGGCCTTGGCGGACTTTGAGGAAGGCGTTTACATACAATCACGTCAAGACGCCGACCTATTCAATGTCGCACACTTCAAAGCTAAGACGAAGTCTACACAGATTCTCGTGAGGGAACTCCTCTTTGCAGATGACAGTGCTCTTGTTTCTCATACACCAGAGCAGATGCAACATGTTATAGATGTATTTTCATCAGCATCAAAGAAGTTCGGTCTACAAATAAACATCAAAAAGACTGAAGTACTATTCCAACCAGGTACAGACCACCTAGAGGAGGAGGAGATCCTAGTGGATGGGACAGCCCTAAACCAGGTAGATGACTTCACTTACCTCGGCAGCACTATATCCAAAGACGGACGCATCGACTCTGAGCTGGTGAAAAGAATGTCAAAGGCCAGCAGTGCCTTTGGAAGACTGCGAACCAGGCTATGGAACAACCATCATGTCTCAACAAGAGTGAAGTGCAAAATCTACAGGGCTATCGTCCTATCCACTCTCTTATACGGTGCGGAAAGCTGGACTCTCTATACAAGTCAAGTAAAGAAACTTCACGCGTTCATGATGAGACACCTTCGAGCAATCATGAGAATCAGTTGGAAGGACAAGGTGACCAACAAAGAGGTACTAGAGCGAGCAAACCTTCCTTCTATGGAGGACCTGCTCATCAGGAAGAACCTACGATGGACAGGCCATGTCATCAGGATGCCCTCTGAGAGGTTACCAAAGCAAGTACTATTCTCGCAACTACCCGCTGGCGAAAGAGGGATTGGTCGTCCACGGCTTCGCTACAAGGACACGATCAAGAGGAACCTTAAGCGGAGGCAAATTGAAACCAAGACTTGGACAACTGCTGCAGGCCAGCGAGCTGTATGGAGAACAGCTGTAAAGTGAAAATGAAGGCGGTCATTGTCGCTTCGCGACAGACAGCTACTACTACTATAGGGGAGGAATCTGAGTAGACACACATTTAGTGATAATGGAAAGGACATTGTTAGCAGTAGCAGTTGAACAGCTCAATATAGTCACGATGTGATTTATGATTTATTCGGCACTTTCAAGGAATATAACAATGAAAAAAATAATCAAGGTGGATACAAAATTAGAATGACAGCAATTTTACAAATAATTTTTTTTGTAGCAATATGTGATGAAAGCACTCAATAAAATAGTAAACTATCTAAATTTACATATGCAATTTACAGAGGGAATAACATGAGAATACCTGATTCCTTATTTTAGAAAAGGGAAGGTGGTCCTTGGCAATTTTATAATAATTTCCAGATTATGAAACAAGTAAACACTTTAAGACTGCAAAATCTGCTATTCTAGAATGAGCAGTCTTAATATGAAAAACCTCTTAAAATTATGGCCATAATGATGATTAAAGTATTTTGTAGTGATTAGAACCTTTTATGTTAAATAAAATTGCACTTTCCTTTATCTGCTTTCTGGCTATACAGGTGCAAAGCCTGGAGAGCATAGAGAGCTTACATATACCTGGTGGAGGAGTCAGTGATAAGAGACCATCGGCCGCGGCTGCTGGTACAGCCGGGGCTCCCTCTAATGCAGAATCATCACAGCACCTCCAAAGACTTCTCCAGCGCCTTCAGAGTGGTGGAGCGGACACCGCTTCAGGACAGGGCCTGTTAGGTGCTGCACCGTCAAGCACCGCGATTGAACCTTCACAGGAGAGAGAGACACCGGAGAAGCTACCCTCACCATCCTCACAACAAACTGATATGAACCAAGCATTGTTAGATAAGCTGAAGTGTGGGGCGCCGCCGGTGAACCTTTTGAAACCGTCTGGTGCCACTCTGACACCTAACCTCTTGGTGTCACAGTCACCGGGTGGTACCGCAGACCCTGGTAGAGCACCACCTGCTATGAAACAGCTTTTCCCTGCTCCGATGGAAACAAGAAAGGTACTAGGTTTTCAGTATGATTGGATAAGAATTATCAAGTGTCTAAATAAAGGAGGGGGGAGGGGAATATTCTCTGCGTGCAAGTGTAATAAGCATTTGAAGGGTGGTATTTAATGATGCTCAGAAACCCCCAAATTCTATCTTTTTGTTAGCTGTCAAAATATGATACCATACAAATTAAAACTTTGAAAAAATATGAATATCATATAAATAATCATGCAATTCACAAGTGGTATAAAGCGCAAAGTCTCCAGCTGAGATGTTGCACATCATCATCATCAATTTCAGGTGGCGCTGTAAAGCGCTGCTGTGGTCTTCACGAGAGCACGCCATGCAACTCTTTCACCTGCCATTTGTGTTGCACCTTTCATTCCTTGTCCAGACACTTTCTTGATATCATCAGTCCAAGATATTGGTGGACGACCTCTACCCCGTTTTCCTTCGACTGCTCCTTGCAGTATTTGCTTCTCAACACCTTCAGATCTCCTAACAATGTGCCCAAAATAGTTTAGTTTTCTCTCCATGATTCCCCTTCTGATGGTCAAGTCTGTTCCAATCTTTTCCAGGACCCACACGTTTGTCTTTTTATCTTTCCATGACACCTGCAACAGCCTCCTGTAGCACCACATTTCAAAGGCATCAACTCTCTTTCTGTCATTCTTTGTCATGGCCCAGGACTCACTCCCATAAGTCGCAATAGTGAAAGAAGTTGCTTGAAGCAGACGAACCTTCAGATTGAGAGATAGGCCTCGGCTCTTCCAGATGTGAGACATATTCTGTACTGTTGATCTCGCCATTGCCATCCTTCTCCTTATCTCTGTGGTGCTCTCTCCTTTGGTAGTGATGATTGAACCCGATTTACACTTCAATCTTATTTCCAGCTACGGTGAAGTCAGTGTTATTATCATCTCTATCGACAACCATTATTTTTGTCTTTTTGGTGGTCAGAAGAAGGTCTTTCTCTTCACTTGCCTGTTTGATGCGATTCAACAAATCCATCAGCTCTTCTCTGCTGCTGCAAACGAGAGTAGTGTCGTCAGCATACCTTAGGTTTGTGATCTTTTTACCTCCAAACTTGACTCCCCCATTGAATCCTTCCAGAGCATTTCTCATAATGTCTTCAGAATAAATGTTAAAAAGGTTCGGAGACAGTATGCATCCTTGACGTACTCCCCTACCAATTCCGAACCACTCAGTATTGCCGTTACTGGTTCTCACTGTTGCTTCTTGGTCATGATAGAGGTTTTTGATCAGTTCGATGATGTGACTTGGGAACCCCATCTTTGTCATTGTATTCCACAATTGAGAGTGGCTCACACAGTCAAATGCTTTGCTATAATCTAATAAGCACAAATAGAGGGGATGTCTGTGTTCTCTGCATTTCTCTATTATGTTTCTAATGTTGACGATCTGTTCTCTTGTCCCTCTACCTTCACGGAACCCTGCTTGCTCATCTGAGATCTCGGCTTGCAGTTTGATTTTCATTCTTCTGCTAATCACCTTCAGAAGTATTTTGCTTGCATGACAAATCAAGCTGATCGTTCGGTGATTTGCACATTCTTTCAGATCTCCCTTCTTTGGTAATGGTATAAAAATAGCTCTACACCAGTCCTTAGGCCACTCCCTACTTTTCCAGATATTGCAACAGAGATGCCACATCAGGTCAGTACCTTCTTCACCTGTAGCCTTCCACATCTCGGAAGTCAAGTTGTCAAAGCCAGGGGATTTGCCATTCTTCAGTTGTTTCATTGCAAGCTCCACTTCTGATCTTAATGGAGGGGGCTCCATTTCATCACTTTCCTCCCACTGAGTGTCAACTTGTTCCTGTGCAGCAAACAGCTTGGTACTATACTGCATCCATCTTTCCTTGATGTCTTCATTTTCCGTCAATGTTTTGCCATTGTCATCATTAATTACATCCAGTCTTGGATTCTTTTCTTTGTGATTTCTTTCACAATTGCAAATGCTGCCTTGGAGTTGTTCTTGTGACGCTCTAGGTCTTCACACTTCCCCTCGATGTATTTCCTTTTGTCCTCCTTCACACTACTTGTAACCGCCTTATTGAGTCTCGTCCATTCTCCTCTATTATGTTTTGCTCTTGCCCTCTTCCTGTCATCAGCAATGTCGAAAGTCTGATTTGAGATCAATGGTTGTTTCCGCTTTCTTTTCTTTGGGATGTGGTTCTTTGTTGCATTTTCAACTGTTTCTTTCATGTCTTCCCACAGCTCATTCGGTGTTTGCTCTGCTTCATCGTTTCTCAACAGCAGCTCAAACTTGTTCTTCAATTCCACTGAGAATTGAGAAGGGATATTTTCCACATCATACCTTGTGGGAGCTGAATCACACTTCTTAGCTTTCAGTCTTAGTCTCAGTTTAGCCACAAGCAGCTGATGATCGCTGCCACAGTCAGCACCTGGTCTTGTCTTGACGTTCTGTAGTGAGGTCCGCCACCTCTTCTTGACCACGATGTAGTCTATCTGGTTTATGGCTCTGTCTCCTGGACTCATCCATGTCCACAGTCTTTTGGGATGATGCTCAAACCATGTGTTACCAATGATGAAGCTGTTCGCTACACAAAATTCTTCCAGTCGATCACAGGTTCAGCTAAATGCACAAAAATATTAATTGCTATGCCCTGAAAAACATGAAGCATTATCATAAGTCTCATGATTTAATTCCCATCTTACCCATCTATTTCAAATACTATCCAAACATTAGTTAAGAACATTTTACAGTGATTCCAAATTTTACACTGCATATTAATGACACTTGCACAGAATTGTTGCTGTTCTTCATGGTCCTGCAGAATGTTTTATTTCATGTTTTATCATGTTTTAATCATCATGTTTTACTGAGGTTTTAATTATTTCCAGGAGTTTTTATGTTTTTAACACAACCTTTACTTGAAGAAATGATTTGTTATGCTTTAAATCCTTTCTTTGTTTTGTTTAACAGACTCCATCTCCTCCTACGACAATACTTGGTATACCTTCCAACCTCCTTACACCGGAACTCCTTAGAACGCGCTCCACCAGCGAGTCATCCTCCACGCTACTCTCACCCCTGAAACTCAGTGGTTCAGTCCAGACTGGCCAGGGTCAGGCTGTAGGGAAGAGGCCTGATCCATTGCTGCAGAGGGGTGCACCTTCTTTACTCACCAAGGAGCAGTTGGCCGCCACACTAACTCATCTCCTGAATGTAAGTTTATATATCTGGGTATTCTCGAAAATGAAAACTTGGGTGTTAATGGCATACCATTATCAATGAGAAGATAATAATGACCATAAACTGAACACAAAACATTACCCCAAATGGGCAAGAATTGATTGGTTTTGGAGTAGGTTTGGAGTCATTTCGGAGTTGATTTAGTGATGCGACTGGCTTATGAAGGATCTACACTGAAACAAAAGACAACAATGGTTGATTATTTGAAGTGTTAGTTGATTGAAGGTTTTAAAAGTTTTTTTTCGAATCATAATTGACGTTATTTCCACAAAACATCATCTGTGGGTCCTTTTACCAAACATTCTTACAAGGTTTTGCCTGTACAGTCTATAAATGAAAGAATATGGAATCATTTCAGTGATTTTGACAGTAAATTAATTTTGGATTTGATTTCAGACCGATGATGATTTCTTGAGCAAGATCCACTCTGCATACACCCACTCTCTTCAGCGTCATCCCCCCTAAGACGGACAACCTTGCTGTTAATTGCACCTTGTGTGAATGCATCCTGTAATGAACACTCGCTCTCTTCAGCGTCATCCCCCTTAAGACGACCTCGGTTGGGTCAAGAAGACGTGTTCACACTCCCTTCATGTCCTACAAACTGCCCATTGAATCCTATGGATGATAAACGTTCATTGCAGTTTGTGTGGATGCGTCATGTAATGAACAATCGCTGTGTTGTGCAGGAAGCGAGGTACTTAATGACCTAAATGTCTTATGAATAATGCATTGCATAAACAACAACACCTAACCTTTACATCCATTCCTTACAGACTTTGTTGCTGTTACTGAAATCTAGCCATGAATAAAACTGTTCTGGAAACTTGTGAAAATCAGTGCAAAAAGATAGAAAGAAGGAGATGACCGTAAAAAACTTTTTTTTTTAAACTCGGCATAAAGTAAAGTCCCTTCAATCTCCTGCAAAGTTTGAAGGAAATATTGTTTAATTATCTCATTAATGCAACATTTCATTTGTAAAGAGCATTTGCTGGATTGTATTTCTTACCAAACTATAAACAGTTATTATCAAGCAATATAAAGAATGAAAAGGATTTTAATAGTTTACAACAAATTATCATGTACAATGGGACATAAGTTTAATCTTTTTCCCTTCTCATGTGGATTAATCTGTATAATTTTGACAAGATGACACAAAGTTCTTATGGTAGAACTATAGAGTATTACGGGGAGTCCAAATAAGGAGGGAATAGTGCAGTACCTGTAATCATAGCATTTTCTAACATAATCAAATTAAAAATAAAAATGATTTGAAATGCAAGTTTTTAACCGTTAAGATGATTGTTTTTTTTAATATTAACCTACCCTTTCAATTCATAGATGTGTTTATTTTGCTTCTCTCTATGTTTAGCCATTGGCTACTGAATTCTCTAATTCACATAGGCTTAATACAAAGACAACCCAATTCCAGTAGGCAGTAGGTTCATTTAAAGGTACTATGTCCCATTTGCAGGCCTGAACAATGTTTTATGCTGTGCAAAGATTCACTCAGTTTAATTTTGGCCATTGCAAGAAGTGGGTTGTTGATGTAGACAAATGCTCATGTACCCTTTACAACTCATTTTATTTATGTTATTACCAAAGAAAAAATGAAGTCAGTCAGTCACTCAATTGTGTCTGACATTGAAGTCTAGCAAGTAAATGGGTTTCCTTGCATAATTTGAATACTAGGACACTGCTAACGTTTAAATTTCACAGATAGGACATACGTGACATATTCACAATTCCTGCAAATAGGACAGTACTTTTAAGCTGATTGAAATTCCTGCTACATGTTTATCAAAAGTCTTCTTTCTTTTTTTAAATCAAGATATCAAATATTCAATGGACATAACCACCAATGATAAGTATTGAAAAGTATAAGCTTAATTCAGGTATACCAGTAGATGTCTATTAACAGTGCATGGTGTTTGCTTCCAGAGATAAAGTACTAAAGGACTGTGGCAGCTGTGATTATCCTGTGGTACTTACATGTTTTGTTTTGTTTCAAGTTTCTAGTTTGTTTCAAGTCTCTTCATCATCAATTACAGCTTTATAATCAACAAAAACCTATTCAAAAATTGCAGATCATAAAAGTCGCACCTCCATTTTACTTATATTTTTAACCGCCATATTCTTTTAATGTTATATTCTGTCATAAAATGTGTTTTCATTCTTAAAATAATATGGTAATTGATTGATTGAAAGGATCTGTGCAATTTAATCATTTTTTAGATGTAACGTCATTTGCCTTGCTGCCAGTTATTGCGGTATTAAGATTTTGAAATATGTATGAGGCATGTTCTCTTTAATTGATCAAATCTACAATTAATTCTTTTTTGTCAATCAGTACCGTACCTACATGCATAGTGTAAACAAATACTAATTTTGAAATTTTGTTCTGTCTAAACAATAATTGTTTAGAGTTGACCTCTTTAAAAACTGGACTTTTCCGAATGAATAATAGAATTGTGACATTCTTAGTAATGTCGTAAAATGTTATCTGGCATTAGGTTAGGAGGAGTTTAACTTGTTTGTCCGAGGATCAGGTGGTCTTTATTAAAATGAAATATTTTGTAAGCTGGTTTGAAAATATGTACATAAAACATTCTGATGATTAACAACATGCTCTAGGATGGTGAGGTCAAAAGTGTACATACATACTTACCGATGGATATGAAAATGGCATGATATTTTTCTGCGTTTTAAAATCAGTGCTGTTATATTTATTGCTTTTGTTGTCTTGATAACACAACATCTATTAAATTCTTGGCCCAAAATTATTCATGATTCAGGCTTTTGATTGAGTGATTGTTTTGGTTGACTTCAAATTGATTTCTCAAAACCAACAAAAGTACTCAGGCACATTTCACACAAACTTTCATGTGAGTTGCACCTTGTTATTAAATCTTCTTGAAATTTGGTCCAAAAACTGTGGACACTTGCTAATTATGTAATTAGTTACTATCATTTTCAGCTTCATTTGTCAAATAAGTGAGGAAGATTTGTTCATCAATATTTCTAGAGACTTTTATGTTGCCTTTGAGATGATGCTAGTAGTGTTGAAGTTTTTTTGATGTTGATTCAATGGTGATCAAAATGGATTAATTTCATAAGATGCACAAACCGCATTCTCAAGAACAACACCAAGATGGTTGATATGAATATCAAGTCCTCTTTTAAACTTCCAGATAGTAACCTCACACACTCTGTGCTCAATGTACATTTTTAGTACTCCTATCATTAGGAGTCCTACAAATATTTCTGATCATGTCTCTTTAAGAGCATGTTGATGCCAATGATTGTTGTACATGTAATGATGATATTCCAAAAACTTGAATGAATAGATTAAGTAATCATTACCAATCCTCCACTTTATTCAGGAATCCCAGATCCTGGAACCCCAGATAATACATGTATTAGTCACTCAAATTATAGTCCACTATTACATCAGCCATGACATATATAAGGACACCTCTGCAGTTGGACCAAAGGTCATGTCCATACACCACATGGGGAATAATGTCAATGATGATGACCACGGTCCAGGCATGATAAGTGACCAGTGCCGTGATTTACGTGGATGTAGAACGATGTCAATGATAATCTCCGGGATGACCATGGTCCAGCGATGATTAGTGACCATTGCTGTGATTGGATGTAGAACGATGTCAATGTTGATGTCCGGGATGAGCAAGGTCCAGCGATGCTTAGTGACCGGTGCTGTGATAATGCATGATGTAGAACGATGTCAATGATGTCGGGGATGACTGAGGTCCAGCGATGATTAGTGACCAGTGCCGTGATTTACGTGGATGAGATGCACAATTGTAATTTAAAGAACACTGTGCACAACGCCTACGCAATGCCCGACATGGTGTTACAGCTTTCAGCAGGAGTGCATCATCTTGTGTAGCTAGACCTTTGAAAAAACTTTTAATTACTTACAAAGCTACTCTGTTTAAATAAAACTTGTTTTGTTTTAATTGTTATTTAATAAAAATGACTGATCTAATAATCATCAGGAGTTCTTTGCTCTGGTATTTCTTAATCCGATCATAATATGACACATAAGACATAACTGACTAGTTTGGAATGCTAAAGATATATCAATTGATTCCTATAATGGTTAAAGAGTTGTGTGTACACGCATAATAATCTATGGCGACCCCCAGTCTAAAGGAATACAGTTTATGAACAAAGTTAGTTTACTAGTAAAAGAGGGGCTTCTAGTGACAGGTGAGAATTGGAACACCTAAATAATACCGCCCCCTGAATGAGGGTCGTTATGCAAGCAGATCGACACAATTCTTCTCTTTTCATGAGCCCCAAATCAATAAGAAAACCTTCAATCCGGCCTTCAATATAAGTAATGTCAAGTTATATCGTCCATGCACCAGTCGAGTTAATCAAACTTTTCTCGTTCTACTATAATGTTGGGACAGGCGCGGATCCAGGGGGGGGGGCCGAGCGGGCCTTGGCCCCCCCCCCCGCAAAAAAAAAAAAAAAAAAAAAAAAGAGAAGAAGGAAAAGAAGGGAGAAAGGGAAAAGGGAAAGAAAGAAGAGGAAGAAGAAAAGTAAAGGGGGAAGAAGGAAATCGGGGGGGGGGGCCGAAAGGGCCTTGCCTCCCAGGCTGATAACCCCCCCCCCCAATCAAAAAAAAAATAAGAGAGAAGGAAGAAAAGGGAAAGAAAGAAAAGGAAAAGAGGAGATACTGGCGTACTGATAGAGGGGGGGGGGGGCTTGGGGGAAATCAAATTCAAACGTGGTTTATTTCTGATTCCACAACGGTGTATTACAAATAATGCTGAAATGACATAATTTCCGAAATTTTTCCTCACTTTTTGGTAAATTATACGTTTGTATGTGTTTGTTGGAAAATAAAAAAAATTCCTAAATTTACAACCAGGCAAAAAATATGATTCTTGAGATTCCTACATGTCAGGGCCCGAGGTACGGCGGGGATCAAGAGCCTCGAGGCATCAAAATATGCTCATCTGACCGTGATTAAATGCCTAAAACCCCTAAGCTTCTAGGGCCCTACGGCGGCCTCTTAGATGATCATCTGACGGTAATTTAATGCCTAAAACCCCTGATTTTTTGGGGCTCCGCCCCCTGGACCCCACGCCAAATAGTGACTTGCCAGTGTCACAAAATAATAAGGTATACACAAAAATATGCTCATCTGACCTTAATTAAACGCCTAAAACCGCTGGGCTTCCGGGGCCGGCTCCGCCGCCTCGACCCCACCTCTTTGAAATTCAGACAAGGATTAAGAGTATAGAGAACGGTACAACGCATCGTTTTCTTTCTCGCGCAGGAGGGGAGGAGGGGGGGGGGCTGAATTGAGACGAGGATTCAGATTCAGAGGCGAGAACGGTAATACGAATCTTTAATTATTTAATGAAACGTAAAAGCTTATGCGCTTCGCGCGGGATGGAGGGGGAACTAAATTCCGATGAGGATTATTTTCGAGAACGGTACAATGAATCGTCTTCTTCTCTAATGATTAAATGAACATTAAAAGCTTCCGCGCTTTGCGCGGGAGGGGGGAACCTGAATTCAGATGAGGATTAAGAGTCGAGAACTGTACAACAAATCGTCTTCTTTCTCTAATGATTTAATGAAACGTAGAAGCTTCCGCGCTTCGCGCAGGAGGGGGAGGGGGAGGAACTGAATTTAGACAAGGATTAAGAGTCGGGAACTGTACAACGAATCGTCTTCTTCTCTAATGATTATATGAAGATTAAAAGCTTCCGCGCGAGGCGCGGGGGGAACCTGAATTCAGACGAGGATTAAGAGTCGAGAACTGTAAAACGGATCGTCTTCTTTCTCTAATGATTTAATGAAACGTAGAAGCTTCCGCGCTTCGCGCAGGAGGGGGAGGGGGGGGACTGATTTTAGACAAGGATTAAGAGTCGAGAACTTTACAACGTATCGTTTTCTTCCTCTAATAATTTAATGAAATGTAAAAGCTTCCGCGCTTCGCGCGGGAGGGGGGGGGGGACATAATTCAGACGAGGATTAAGAGTCGAGAACGGTACAACGAATCGTCTTCTTTCTTTAATAGTTTAATAAAACGTCAAAGCTTCCGCGCTTCGCGCAGGAGGGGAGGGTGAGGAACTGAATTTAGACAAGGATTAAGAGTCGAGGACTGTACAACTAATCGTTTTTTCCTCTAATAATTTAATGAAAATATGTAAAAGCTTCCGCGCTTTGCGCGGGAGGGGGGAACCTGAATTCAGACGAGGATTAAGAGTCGAGAACTGTACAACAAATCGTCTTCTTTCTCTAATGATTTAATGAAACGTAGAAGCTTCCGCGCTTCGCGCAGGAGGGGGAGGGGGAGGAACTGAATTTAGACAAGGATTAAGAGTCGGGAACTGTACAACGAATCGTCTTCTTCTCTAATGATTATATGAAGATTAAAAGCTTCCGCGCCTCGCGCGGGAGGGGGGAACCTGAATTCAGACGAGGATTAAGAGTCGAGAACTG